ACGAACTGAACTAACTGCTATGATACGGGTAGACACAGAATGCTCTGGTGACACAGAGGTAACATCTACAGGGTGTCCCCAAAAATGTATATACACTTAGCAGCTGATAGCTCAATTGATGTTTCTTTCTTTTCAGATTTAACCCATTGGAATTAATAATTATTCAAAGTGTGTATACATTTTTGGGGGGATATCCTGTATTTTGGAGTAGACATTGGCCTGCTGATTGAGGAGAGGAGGGGATTTTAGTCAGAACGAGTATCACCATTCAAGAACTGCAGATGTTCCATGTAGCTAAAGCAAGGGAGTCAGGGTTGCGATGAGGGAGTCTGTTGGAATTGTCATGTGCTGAGAATTCAAGACTTCATCCTGGGGGCCACCACTGCCATCACTTCCCCTGTGACTGGTACCCCAGAAGGTGCTAATCTAGTTGTAATTTTTCCTCTTAAGTCTAGACTTGGTCTCCAAATTTTTCTCAACAGCATATATGGAGTTGTCCCATAAAACCTCTTTGTCATTCCTGATGTAGGGAATAGGTTATTTAAAGCAAGGTTTTAAGCAAGGGAGTGATGTGATCCTATATGTATTTGGGGACAGTCACAGCAGTGGTGGTAGCAGGACCAGCTGGAGGAAAGGGGGAGACTGTTGGTAGAGTGCACAGGTTTGAGGTGTGAACAAATGCAAACAGTGAAGGAAAGAGGCAAGCTGGCCAGTGTAAGCACGAGAATCTTTTTATTTAAATTAAAAAAAAAACTTTATTGTTGAAAATATTACAGATGTCCCCTTTTTACCCCCATTGATTCCCTCCACCCCATATCCATCCCACCCCCAGGCCTTCCCCATACCAATGTCTGTGTAAACAGGAGAATCTTAGCCTGGTGCACAATGCTCTCCCCCAGGAGAGGGAACCAGGGATGAACGACCAGAGCAGCTGTGTTTTCCAAAAGGGTGGAGATCTGGGGAATCTGGGTCCCTAAGAGTTGCTTTCTGTCCTAGCTGTACCTGTTCTGAAATGAAGCAGGGTAAAATAATACATACCCTCTGTCGTAGGGGCGGTGCTGTAAGGAAAGCTGCAGAGGTAACCCTCCCTTCCTTCTGCTGTCTAACTGGTTCAAGCTGGAGACACCTTGCCATCCCCAATGCAAGATGGTCCCTGGCCTCTGGGTGGGGCTAGACTGAGGCCACACATATTCAACACAAAGAAACTGCCATATCTGGAGTCTCAGAATCAAGTCTGGGCTGTGGTGGACCCCCTGCTGCTGGGCTCCCCTGGCCACAATACCACACACAGACACTATTCCATGGAAACTGTTGAGCAATAGGAGTCATTCAGAAAAACAACCACTCCCTGCCCCATCAGCTGCCCACCGGCTGTCCATGCCTCCCTCAGTGTCATGCAACTGAGGGCCCAGCCCCTCATTCCTGACCAGAGAGCCAGCTGAGTCCCAGGCCCTCTCCCTCCCACCTCCCCTGATTAGGAGCAGTGGCAACACCCAGAAAGGAGCCCCAGTGGCAGGCTGGTCCTCCCAGTTCTGGGATGAAATGACTATTAGAACTCTGCCATTGAGCGAGACTCCACAGGGGCCTGAGCTTCTGGAGTTCCTGCCTCCAGTGCCCCAACTTCCCTAGAGTTTGAGCAGGTCGCTGGGGGCAAGATCCAGCTCTCCCTGTTCCCTGCATGGGGACTGTTGACTGTTGAGTATCTGGGCAAAGGCTTGTGCCAAAGAGAAGGGGGTTTTATCTTGGCCTTGTCCATCAGCTAAGCCCCTGCTGTCTGTTCCCCCAGCACAAGCCAAGCCCTATCTTGAGAGCTGGGAGTCAGGGCAGCTGGGGCAAAAGGAAATAAAACTTGGGGAGCTCATTCTGAAAGGCAGGGACTTGCTCTTGGGAATAAAGTTCAGATTGAGTGCAAATGTCTGAGGAGCCAGAGTAATGGGGCTTTTGCTAGGACGCTTCCTGGAGAGGAGAAAGGGGGAAGATGTGTCCTGGTATGAGGTTGCTGGCAGCGTGCAGCGTGCTCCCTCTAAGCTTTAAGGAACAGCAGAAGATAGGATGGGGAGAACAGATGCTAGACAAGAGACCTGGGCTTAGGAGGAAGTTGTGAAGGGTTGGAAAAGGTAAAGCTTTAGGGGCCTCGTGTACTGTCTGGCGTGCAGAAGTTACAGCAAGGAGGTTAAGCTGTCTGCCCTCCTGATGGATTTCACCTGCAGCAGGACAGCGCCGGTTGAGATCAAAACACAACTTTCTCACTGTGAGAAGTATTAGATTCCAAACTCAGTGCCTAAAGTGGAGCTTGGCATCTCAAGGGAACATAGACCCTCCGGGGTGGGAGAGGAGTTGTGGGGGATCCACAAAACCAGCTGGGACTCCAGGTGGAGTCCTGGCACCAGCCCTTCAGACTGATTTAAAGATTTTCCACCAAGAGACTCATGACCACCAGAGGGCATCACCACCCCATGGTGTGGTATCTTGGGCTCCTTCCCTGGAGAAACTGGAGAGATGGGGAGGAGGAAATGGGCACAGGTCTCTGAGCTCTCCGGGGAGCTACCAGCAGCTGAATTAAACAGCCTCTGGGGTCAAGAGACCTGGGATCTAGTTAAATGAGGGCTTAAACAACAAGGTATCCCTTCCAGACCATAAGGCCCGTTCCAGCTCTGAAATTCCAGGGTTTGGGGAAATCATGCAGTGAGCCTGAAACTGTATCTCTCTGGCCCACCTTTACTCTGGGGTTCTCTAGGGCTCTGCCTGGCAGGAGGAGGAAACTTCTGTGACCTTCTCTGCTGGTGGTCTCTAACTTGGAGGCAGGGAGGCAGACTGACCTGCATACTGAAGGGAAGTCTCTGCCCCCACCTCAGCCAGAAGGAGAAAGGTCTCAACAAGGCTGTCCCACACAGGTGCTGTGATACCCATGGCGTCCACTTCTCCAGGTTTCAGGCAGGGAGGTGTTGGTTAGGTAGCCCTCTGGGATAGGTAGGGTGGTGGTCCCTCCCAGAAGAGCTTGTACGAGATGCCCTTTTGTGGGTCCCTTCAGGGAGAAGCCCAGGAGTGCAGAGACTAGAAACCATTGCCTCTCCTGCCTTTGCTCGCCTCCCCACCCCCACCCCACCCCCAGCACAGATGCCGTCTGTCAGGAGCAGGCAGCAGACGGTCCAGGGGTCCATCTGTGCTAATGCTTCACAATAGAGTCCCATGTTTCCCCACCGACACCCCCTCAGCCCTTCAGCTGATGGCCACTTGGTGGTGCCAAGGGGAGAAGTGGGAGGAGGGAGAGGAAGGCACTAAGGGAGTTAGCTCTTGGCTCCTGGCAGTCCTCAATCCACACCTGCCCCCCACCGAACAGGCATCCTGCCATCTGGACTTGTATAATCACTGAGGGGTGGAGAAGCACCCCCTCTCACCCACACCTCCTGCAAGGTGGGGGCCCCAGGGGCCCGGGGGTGGGGAAGAGACAGTCTCAGAAAGTAAAGGAGACAAGGAAGCAAGGAGACTGAGAGACATGTGAATGAGACAGACAGGAGGCAGCCTGTCCTGGCTGCCCCAGGTGGATGTGGTCACTTGTCCCTCTGCACTTTTCATGCCAGGTGTCTAACACAGCACTTGTACAGGTACCACTCCCTATCAGACCAAGAGCCTCTGTAACCCCAGTGCCTAGCCTGGACCCGGCAGGAAGCAGGGCTTAAATGCAGAGAGAATGAAGAACCGAAGATGACAGCATCACATAGTGTTAGATTGTAGGCTCTGGAATCAGGCAGTCTGGTTTTGAATCTCAGCCCTGCTACTGAGTAGCCCAGAGCAAGTTACTGAACCTCCCTGGGCCTCAGTTTCCTCATCTGTAAGGGATGAGAATGATACCTGTTTCATAGGGTTGTTACATAAAAGCACATGCAGAACAGTGGGCACAGCACATGGTAAATGTTCAATGAATGTTCGCTATAAAGGCCACCCCAGACTTGGGAGGATGGGAGGAGGAGAAGGGGACAGCCAGGAACAGTCAGGGGCAGTGCATTCCTGGCCTCCGCCTCTGTTTAGTGGCTGACGTGCTTGACACCCTGTGGTGGCTACCTGCACCTCAGACGCCAGGCCTGGCCTTCCACTTCCTCCTCTCTCTTCTTATTCAGACACCACTGACGACAGAGACTTCAGCTGGGCTGTCCCCACCTCTTCCATGGCCTGGGAGCCACGTATCACAGCCTAGGGATAGTCCCTAAGACAGGGTCAGAGAGTGGCTGAGCACACCCCCAACCCTGAGCGCCAGCTCAGCTCAGGCACCCCCCCTTCTGATGAGTCAACTCCATAGTAAGGACCTGTCTGCTGGGAAAGGGGTATCTGAGTCCTGACAGCAAGAGTTGGGGAGAGCCCGGCCAGGCGTGGCTCAGCGGTTGAGCATCCACCTACGATCCAGGAGATCCCGGTTTGATTCCCGGTCAGGGCACATGCCGGGGTTGCAGGCTGGATCCTCAGTCGGGGTGTGCAGGAGGCAGCCGATCAATGACTCTCATCATTGATGTTTCTATCTCTCTCTCCCTCTCCTTTCCTCTCCCTGAAATGAATAAAGATATATTTAAAAAAAAAAAAAAAGCTGAGGAGAGATTTACCCAGGAGGGACCACTTCCTCCCCTCTGAGGGGACAGGTCAGAATTAAGTGGGCTGTGCTCTGGGTTTCCACCCTTCCCTTTCCCCTGCCTTGGGAGGAGAAAGCCCCTCTCCCCTCTGCTGGGGCAGCTGCGGGAAAGGGAAATCCTGGGTCCTCCCGCTCCCCGGGGCTTCTGCACCCCGCACTCAGCGGCACCCCTCCCCGGGCCCGCGCCCCTGCACGGGCCTGCTGCCTTGTCTCGCCTAAAGTCTCCTGCGGCCTCCGGGTCTCCTAGAACCTTCCCCTGGATCCACAGACCCTTACTTTCCATCCACCACGAGGGGTTCCACGAGTCTCCAAAGCTACCGGTGCGCAAATTTTCAAACCTCTCACACAGGCCCCTTCACAGAACCCCCCGCCCCCAGGTATGGCGGGGACCCCTGGAACCCGCCTAGGGATCCCGTTTACCGCCGCACTCCTCCGCGGTTAGGTCTTGTTACCCCC